GGATGCAGCCTGCTAAACAAGTGGTTTTCAGGGTCTTCGGAGCTTTCACCACTTCAGGACCATTCAAGATTTTCAGACCTGAATGGTCCTGAAGTGGTGAAAGGTCCGAAGACCCTGAAAACCACCTGTTTAGGCAGGCTGCATCCTAAAGTGGTGAAGGGTGTCTTGAAGTGGTGATGAAAAATACGACTGTTGTTAACCTTCTCTCAAAGAAACATAATAAAAAGAGGGAACTTTTTTTTCCCCCCTAGACTACCAGAGTGGCATGGGACCACTTGCCCGACCGGGTAAAAAAACAAATAAAAAAAATAAAAAATAAAAAAATATTTTTCACATTGATTTTTTATTTAAACTTTGGTAAATGCGAGGATTTGGGTCCTCGGCAGGCCTAAGGGGGCCCTATTATAGAAGTGTGCGCCCTAAGTGAAGGCGGGCCTAACAAATCGTGAGAGGCCCTCTGTTGTCAATTTCGTATTTGGGGTCCAGGCAGTTGTGACGCGCCAGTTGGTTGAGGGAAACACAGGCCGAGCAGCAAAGAGATTCCACGGTCTTCTAGGCCTTTCCGAAAAATGCAGGCCCTGGGCAAGAATCGCAGCCTCATACACAAACAGTTGGGAGGCCCAACAGCTGCATCGGAGGCACAAACTCCTAAGGCCTACCGGAAGCTTCTCGGCAAGGGCCCAGGCCAGTCAGGCCACCGGAGGAGGCAGGCTCTTTCCATATAGGAAAGAGCTCGCTGCCTGGGCTCTCATTCAGGCATTTGTGAAGTGATGCGGTAGCACTGCTGGAGCGAATGCTTGCAGGCTGTTGGCGCTAAGGGCAAGGTGCAAGCACGTGCAGTCGTGCAAAGAAGCAGGGTGGTGCTGAGGCAGCGCCATAGCCTAGCCTCCATAACTGGATGGGCTTGGACTACAGTGAGGCGCAAGGGTGTTCCTTGGGTGTACAGAGGGAAGACGTGGGTGTAAGTCAGGGGAGAAAGAGAAGGATGATGATGATGATGATATGAGGGCACATACCTGGTATTGGCGATGGCCTGCATTGGGCGACATCTTCAAGTACTTCGTGGGTTGTTGACGTCAACAGTTGCATTGTCAATTAGTAGGCAGACAGTAGCTATGTAGGAGGTAGGCTGGGGGTCGAGCGCCAAGTAGGGAGAAGGGCCTGGACACTCGTATTGGTGGTGGCGAGAGCAAGCTCTCATTCACATTGGTTTTCAGTGTTACGATTCTTCATTGGTGTTATATTGGTGCAATTCTGCTTTCTGGACACTATGATACTATCCGGCCTTCAATATGATTGTGCATTCTGGTTATTGTCATCTCGCTATTGCTCATTTTCCTTGCAATTTGGTATCGGAGCTGGCTCGAACTGCGCTTCATTGATTCTTCGCAATAGTTGTTTGGTGCTTCGCATGAGGTGCGGGGCAGTAATAAAGCTTGGGCGTTTAATGATAGGCGGCCCAGGGTCGTGTGGGCTCACCAGGAAGCTATGTGGTGTCATTAGGGGTGTACGCTGGATGATGAGAGCTAGCTGATGTGGCATTTAAGCCGAGGTGGAACTGCATTCTGTTGTTGGTTGTGTCAAGGCAAAAACCAGTCATCATAAATGCACATCAGGTTACCGGCGAGAAATCAGTGGTTGGGGGCAGCATTATGCGGTACGTTGCTCTTTTCCTTATCTATCCTCTTCACTACTTCTTACCGTGCAGAAGTGAGTTATGTCTTGAGAGTCCTCTCAATGTGAGGTGTTGCGAGCGGTTAACCTTGAGAGTCGACATTCTTCCTGGGCAGCAAGCTGGTGGGAGACGGACGAAGCCTCAGAAGGGCCCTGGACGAAGCACTCAGGTCACGGTCACCATGCCAACCCGCTAGGACTAGTACACGCATGCTTTGTCGCAAGTCCTTGGTTTTGTTGCTGCGCAATAGAGGTCATGCAGGGCATGCCAGCACTTTGAACAGGCGCTTACCAGACCGTCTCTAAATATTTTTGGAGGGTTCAGGTGTTGAACCCTGGCTGTGATCGTCGTCCTGTCGGCGACGTTAAATAATTCCTGAGGACCTTGGGGGTTGTCCTTAAACTGCCTCTTGATCAACCAGATCAAACTGGATGTAAGGCTCGTTGCATGTGAGGGTAAACAACGTGCAGGGGCTGGCAAGTTCGACATAGACTTGGGGCACAGGGGTGGGCCGGATTGCACACCTTCAGACACGCCGCTCAACCAGATGCTCAGGGCGTTGACACAAAGTGACCAATCAAGAAGGATATAGGGAGAGGGTGGACTCCGGTAACTGTTCACAGAGTTATTAATTAGGAAATATTCCATCCAGCATGCATCTCTGCAGATGACACTATTTTATTTTTGATTATTTGGTTGTTACGAACTTGACTGACAACTAACAGACAACTGCAGATAGTTAGTATTTCTTGCGGTATGCAATCTGTTTTAGAGTAATCTAAAAATAGAACTAGTATCCCCTGTAGGACCTGACATTGATTGCTGGTTACTAGTTGACTACTTCTCTCTAGGCTGATCGAAATTAGTTGATTGTTCATACTCGGTTGTGGGCCATGCTGAGGTAGGATTCAATGTGGATTCTAGTTTAGACCACACACACTGTAGCTCATGAGTGATGCAAGCAGTAGTGAGGAGGAGGAAAGACTTGTAGAACCCCTTAGAGTTACCATGGACGACTACCCTATGTATGGTCTGCTAGTGGGGTTCTCCCTCTAAGGGACCCTTTGGCGTCTCCTTTTTCCCCTGGGGTTCTGGAACACTTTTACGTGTAGAGTAGAAACCAGGGGTGGTGTGAGCACCACTCCGTACACTCCAGAATAGGAGGAGGAGACTGCGAGTATCTTGGCCGAGCAGAAGGCCAAGAAGGAGAAGAAGGAGGTGGTGAAGCAGGCCAAAAAGTTGGCCTTAATGCAAGAGCAGGCTGCGAAAAGGAAGAAGTTGGAGGAGGAGCTAGAAAGGGTGAAAAAAAAGGAGGAAGAAAAAATGAAAGCAGTGGATGCAGAAGAAGAAGAAGAAGAGAAGAAGGCGTCAGAAGAAGTTCCCCTTATTAGAAGGAGTTTCAGGAACAAAACGGAGTCCGGTGGCATGAAGAAGGCAGGGCACCAATGGTTGGAGAAGAAAGTGTTTGAGTGGGTCGCCAATCTGTTTCTGGGAGAAGAGGGGAAGCAATGTTATATGTCTCCAGGGAAGAACATAAGGCAGTAGTGAAAGAGTGGGAAGGAGAAGAGGAGCCCTTAAAGCGCCAAAATATAGAAGAGGAGAAGAAGTTGGAGTGGAAGCTGCGCTTAGCCAGGGAGAAGAAGAAGAGAATGGAGGAGGTAAGCAAAGCTGCAAAAGAATTGGAAGCCATAAAAGAACAAAGAGCGCAGATGGAGACACAAGCAGACATACAGGGGAAGATGGAGGTGATGTCAAGGAATATTGAGCTCCTGGCCAAAGCATGGGACGAGCAGTATCAGTTCACTAGGAGCCAGGATGTAGCCTTGCGATCAATCCGATTGGGATTTAGAGAGTTTGCGCATGACATGATGATGCACGTGGGATCAGAAGTAACGGCGAGGCTAGAAAATACAGAGCGATTCTGCACGCGCGCCATAGAAGGCGCAAAACTCGCTGCTCCAGGGGAGGAGGAAGCGCGTCCCCATAGAGAGCCAGTCAAGGTAAAGTTCCCTGGCTCTTATAGTGGAAAGAAGGAAGAGAACTTTGACAATTGGGAGGCGAATGTGAACTCCTACGTACACCTGCAAAAGATAGCTCCTGAGGAATAGGTCCTCATCGCCTTCCATGCTCTCAAAGATGAGGCAGCTAGTTTCGCTAGATCGCTCTGTTGCGCTGCTAAATGTAAAAATGATATGGTTGCCTATTCCTTGATCACCCCCCTTAGTGACTTCTTTAAGTTACTACGCGAGAGGTTTGCAGATGTCACGCGAAGTGTTAGAGCCTCTGACAAGCTGCAAACCTTTCATTCCCGCCAATGGAGGAGCGTCAGGGCACTCAAGGGTGTCATGGATGAATTGGTAGTTGTCCCTGGTCATGGGGTCATTGAGACCCAGCTGGTCCAACTGTTTTATCATGCCATGCCCGAGCCTTTGCGCGGGCACTTCTTCGAGAAGAGTAGGGAGTTTACCATGACCTACGATACTTTGAGTAGGGAGGTGGTAGCATTCGAAACGAAGACCATGCCAGTTTCCACTTTCTGGCATAAGGACATTGACAAGGGAAAGAAGTGGAAAGGCCGTACCATCTCGGGTCAGGTTAAGGGCAAGGATCATCTGATCCTTACATTAGATGAAGATGTCCCCTATGAGCAGATAGAGTGGGGTCTAGAGGAAGAGGATAGTGGCGATAGTCAGGGGAGGACTTACGCTACTGTCGCGGCTGAAGGGAGGCCGCAAGGAAGAGGAAGAGGCTAGGGCCAAGGGGGTCGGGCCTCTGGTGGTCGTGGACAGGGCAATCAGGGGGTTGGTGGCAGAGGAGGCTGCCAAGCGGGAGGTAGGGGTCAAGGTCCCCCGCAAAACCGCTCTAGTTTTAATCGGTCACCGTACAGAAGGGGTGGATGACACCCTGGTCTGCCACATGGCAGGCCTTGGGAAGATTTGGGCCTATAACAAACAGTCTGGCAGAGGAGGATCGATCAGGATCAGTGTATTTATTGTGGTGATCCTGGTCACATTATTAAATATTGCCCTAAGTACAACGAGGCCCGATTTGCTGCATAGGCAGCAAAAGGCAACCACCGGTAGGGGTTGCAACTGCCCCTATCCCTAGACCATGTGGAGAAGAGTGCGCACACCACACAGATACTCCCAAACCACATGTGTCTATGACAGAGGTTGCTGGCCAGTGCCTAGATCGCTGACCAGAAACTGCTTGTGTTAGAGTTTCTCTAGGCACTTCCCTCACAGGCATGGAAGAAGAATTAAAGGAGAGGATGCCTGCCTGGGCCAAGATGAAGAAGGACGCGAAAGGACAACTAATGTTAGTAGTTGTAGAGGTCTTTCGAGGACGAGTAGGAGCCTTGATAGATAGTGGGGCCACTCATAGTTATATTAGCAGGAAAGCGCTGCAGAAGCTAAAGTTAAATTTGAAAGTCCAAAAGTTTGAAGACCATATAGTCAGTATCCTTGCAGACAATCACACTATGAGAGTTGAGGATTATGTAGAGGGAGTCCAGGCGTACTTTCGCCTAGAGAAGGATGGGAAGGTGGAGAAAGTTATCCATTCTCTGACTCTCCTCATAGAGGATGCCTTCCTTTCGATATGGTCCTAGGAATGGACTGGGGAGTGGCAGCAGGGGCCACACTCCACTTGAGAGAGCACGAGTGTAGGCTCCCTAGTCCAACAGGCGAAGTTAAGACGGCTCGTCTGTTCCATGTGTCAGGAGTAGACAACTCCCTGACACATTGCTGCCTCAGTGCTCCCGCGTTTGCGCGATTAGTTAAAAAGGAGCAACTAGAAGAACATGTCTTTGTTGCCTATGTCAGGACTGTCACTGAGCCTAAAGAAGAGAAACCCATAGATCCTGTTATTGCCAAGCTACTGGAGGAGTACATAGACTTAGCTAAGCCGCCTACAGGAGTAGTGTCGCGACCGATCCAACATCGCATAGAAATAGAGCCTGGCAGTAAGACTCCTAAATGAGCTATCTACAGGATGTCCCCAAAGGAGTTAGAGGATCTGCGTAAGCAGCTAGATGAACTCCTAGAGAAGGTTTGGATTAGGCCCAGTTCGTCTTCATTTGGAACACCTGTTCTTTTTGTCCCCAAGAAGGAGGGAGAGCTTAGGATGTGTATAGACTATAGGGGTTTTAATGTTATCACGGTAGAGAATGCAGAACCACTGCCTCGTATAGATGATCTGTTGGATCGGGTGCAGGGCTGCAAATATTTTTCGAAGATAGATTTAAAGTTCGACTATCATCAGATAGAGGTTCATCATGATGATCAGTATAAGACAACATTCCTGACTAGATATGGGCACTACGAGTTTATAATAATGCCCTTTGAACTAACCAATGCGCCAACCACTTTCCAGCGTTGTATGAACGATTTGTTTAGGCGATGCTTAGATAGGTTTGTGGTAGTATATCTAGATGATATTCTAGTGTTTAGTAAGACCCTCCAGGAGCATGAGGGCCATCTGAGGCAGGTCTTGGAGAAGTTGAGAGAAGCTAACTTCAAGATCAAAGCGACGAAGTGCGAGTGGGCCAAGACACAAGTCTTGTACTTGGGCCACGTCTTAGATGGAGACGGCATAAAACCTGAGGATAGTAAGATAGCAGCGATCGGAGATTGGCCAACGCCCCGCACATTGACAAAACTGCGGTCGTTTTTAGGCCTAGCAAACTATTATAGAAAGTTCGTGAGGAACTTTTCTATCACCGCTGCACCCCTTCGCAGATTGCTAAAGAAAGAGGCGATCTGGAAGTGAGATGGAGATTGTACGTCGGCCCTGAAGAAGTTGAACCTTGATAGAATATCCAGTCCTCAAGGTAGTTGATCCATCATTGCCTTTTGTCGTCACCATTGACGCAAGTTAGTATGGTACAGGCGCTGTTCTACAACAAGATTATGACAATGGCTATAGACCCATAGAGTTTATGTTTGCTAGGATGCCTTCAAAGAAGGTTGCGACATCAACCTATGAACGAGAACTCTACGCTCTCAGGCAAGCACTAGATCATTGGAAGCACTACTTGTTTGGGAGGCACTTCAAAGTCTATTCAGACCACGAGACATTGAGGTGGTTGAAGACACAGGCCAAGATGACACCTAAGCTTACTAGGTGGGCTGCAGAGATAGACCAATATGACTTCGAGCTTAAGCCAGTCAAAGGCAAATACAATGTAGATGCGGACGCTCTAAGTAGGAGGGTTGATTACTTTGGAGCGATAGTTCACTATCTGGATATAGGAAGAGATCTGCAACAGAAAGTTAGAGAGGCGTATGCACAAGATCCTATATATCGTGACCTCCTCAGGAGAGTTAAGGAGGCCCCAGAGTCCGAACCAGACTACCGCACTACTGATGGATTGCTATTTGAGAAGACTAATGTAGTTGACCGTCTGTGCGTTCCTAACAGTGAGGAGATCCGTAGATCTTAGGGGAATGCCACGACATAGAGGGACACTTTGGTTGGCAAAAGACACTAGCCAACCTCATGCGCGCGTATATATGGCCCGGTATGAAGGCTGACTGCATAGAGTATGTATGCAGTTGTAAAGTCTGTCAGAGAAACAAGACTACTACGCGAGCCCCTCTTGGTCTTCTCAGACCCTTGCCTATTCCTGACAGACCCAGAGATTCAGTGTCCATTGACTTTATGGATACTCAGGTCAAGAGTAGGCATGGCAAAAGTCAAGTCATGGTCATAGTTGATAGGCTTAGCAAGTATGCAGTTTTTATCCCTTTGCCTGCAGAGGCACGAACAAATTTAGTAGTTCAAAAGTTTTTTGACCATTGGGTCAGTGAGCATGGTATACCGTTGTCCAGGTTTGCTAATCAGAACTGACAGGAACTAATGAAAGTTTATGGTTCCAAGTTGCTGATGTCATCTGGTCGTCATCCTGAGACTAACGGTCATACTGAAAAGATGAACAAGCTCCTGCAACAAGTTCTGAGAATGTACGTTAGGCCCAACCAGATCAATTGGGATGAGATGCTTCCAAAGGTAGCCAGTGCATACAATAACAGCGTGCACTTAGCCACGTGTCGCACTCCCAACGAACTGCACAAGTCCTTTAGACCGCGCAGACCATTTGAAGGACTTAACCGAGATCAGATTCGGAGGCTACCGCCCGGTACACGAGAGTTTGCGATACAACACGAGAAAGAGATAGCTATTGTTATTGATAACCTCAGGAAGGCCCAACACAGGATGATAGAGCAAGCTAATAAGCACCGTCGCCCCTCGCAGTTTCAAGTAGGCCACTTAGTCTGGGTCAAGTCAAAAGAGTTCGCTCCTGAGGAGAACATCTCGCAAAGTTACTGTCTGCATATCGAGGACCGTGGCCAGTCTTAGAAGTCAAGGGCAGAGAGGATGGACCATCCTATACTATTGAGATTCCAGCACACCTCCACACCTACCCAGTGTTCCACGCATCAAAGCTGTTGCCTTGTGTTACAAGTCAACAGTTTCCATCCCGGTGATCCATGATTCCTCCGGATATGGATGGAAGGTACGATATTGTTGATATAGTAGGTGAAGATATCTTTAGGACAGGAGGTAGAGGTCGTCTACAGAAACAGTATAAAGTTAGATTTTCCTTTCAAGAACCAGAAGACGACCGCTGGTTCACGCGAACAGAATTCTAGAGACGGCTCCCGATATGGTCCGAGCCTACGAGAGAGACAAGAAGGGTAAAGGTCCTGCCTTAGACTGAAGTATTCTCGGAGGACCTGGAATTTAGGCCGGCGGGAGTGAATGCCCTTTTTGCAGACACAGATGCAGTCCCTAGATGCATGCCCTAGAGTTTGATCCCCAGACCTTACCTTAACCATGTACAGTATCGAGTTGACCCATGAATGTTTGAACCCGCGACCTGTGTTTTGGTAGTTGGTTGTTGTCTGTCGTAGGTCTGTGTAGTTGTAGGGGTTCGATCTGTAGGTTTGTCGAGTAGCGGTCATAGATGAGTAGAGGTTGTAGCTGTAACATTTCTAAAAGGTCAAGGTCGTTGCTGCTACAGTCCTGAAAGGTCAAGGTCGTAGCTGCTACAGTCCCGAAAGGCCAAGTCCACAAACTTCCAGAAGGTCCGGAAGTGGCCTTTCGAGAGTTTCTCACGTTTAGTTAGAGGCAAGTGGTGAGTCCAACTTCGCTTAGTCAGCGGTACCCAGT